ATTGCAAAGTTGTAGCAGAGAAATAATTATTAGCCTATAAACTAATTGATGAAGAAGCTGCTCATGAATTGCTTTCCCTGTTTATGCTGCATCTCTTAGGCTACTTGTTATATAAATGACCTGAAGATATAGTCAAAAAGACCAAATAGTCAAAAATTAAAACTTTCCTATGATTGAAATGTGAGAGCAGATTAGGCAGACAGCCTTATAACTTTTGGAGTTTACATTTGGCTGCGAAAACTCAGTAACCAATTGAGTGCTTCATGAAGCTATTTACAATTTTTAGGAGCAAAGCTTTGGCATATAGTAAGCTATGTAAATGTGCTAAATATTTTTGGTAGCTTTTAGTGGTAGCTGGATTTCTGTTTTGTTGTTTAAGCTTTCAGGACAAAGACTGCTGAAATACTTAGTTGGAATAATTTTTTTGTTGTAGTGTTTAGTGTTGGGCACTACGATAACGTTACTGGATTTCTCAGTTATTTCCCCTCGTACAGTAATTTGACCTATTCTGATGTTTTCTTATGACCATAGAATTGAGGCCTAATTCTTAGAGATATCCTTTCCAGAATCTCACAATGAGATATTTTGAATAAGCTGCAAAAGCAGTCAATCCTCCTTAGGCTCCTTGTCACCAATTCTACTGTATTCCTGTATAGACACTTTAGAGGCTTTCCCAAGTATTAAGTAGGTTTTGGTATGTGTTGTGTTACAGTGTCTCAGCAGTTGTTCTCTTCACGAGTAAGTTAGATATGTTATGTCTTTTTTTAAGAAGCACATCTCTTTTTGATGTTTAACTTCCAAATGGCTGCTCGTGTGCCATTCATATTGCCCGTCGTGAAACAGAACCTAAGCAAAACCAGAAAATCCAAAGAGTCAAAGATCAGATTTTACTCAACAGCTTTAACAGTTTGCAAAAAAACTACTCACACGATTCTGTTGGATGAGAAAATATCATTTGCCAATTCAAGTACAAAGCGGTTCTGTGAACCTGTGTAGCACGAGGACCCTCTAGTTTCTCTCCTTTCCACTTCTTCCCTTCCTTCTCCCAGCAAGAACATCAAGGGGCTAAAGGATGGTAATGTAAGAGAGCTGCTCCACATGTTTCCCTGCAGAAAGCTGCTCACTGTGAGCCTTGATGCAGACGGGTAAAGTAGGTTGTAGATCTGTACTTATGGCTTAAGTCTATGAAAGGTGTACATTGTCTCTTGAAATGTAAATAATGAGATGAATTGCTTTGCCATTACAGAGGGTTTTCTTTATATTTTTGCAACAAAGAGTGATATTGTGAAGTTGAATAAAATGTGTATGAAGTTCCTCTGAATAGCTGATTGAAGGTATTTAAAGTTGTTTCACTGACTTCGAACAAAGCATTTACAGAAGAGAAAAATCAGATTTAAATATATTGATTTTCTTTATGAAGTAAGTGACACCTTTGGATCTGAATTGTAATTTCAGTATAAATCTATATAATTTAACAGTAACATAAATACACTGTGTATTTTGTTTTATTTGATACCTTTTGAATTTGAGACCATGAATAGTGCTAGCTGTTAATGTGCATCCTGTGCTTACTGTGTAGACTTTCCAAACATGTAGTCTGTCTTGAATTTGATTTTTCTGTAGTTGAGAATGTATGTGTATATGTGCATGAGAAGGGAAAAATATATATTTATATATTTCTGCATCTAGTCTTTTTGGAAAGATAATCTTAAAATATTACTGGAGACCAAGTAATGCATCATGTGCTTTTTATCTGGGAATGTCACATTCAATAAGTAACAGTTAAGAAAAGGAATGTACTGTTCTGTTTTTCTCCACACAGTTATTCTGAAACAAGTTTGTGTACTAAATACAGATTATTACATTGTGGATAAAGCTAACGTGCTTACCTGGAATTTCACACATCTTATCTGCTATACTGAAAAATGCATTTTCAGCTTCTCCGTAAGAACTGATGTAATTGTCCTTACTGCAGCTACTACTTAACACAACTGCAGCTCACTGAAAATTTAATTGTCAGCCCAGTGATTTTTTTTTTGCTATAAAATATTTGTAAAAATGTCAAGTTTTCAATATAAATGTTGAATTCATTCTGTAACTGAAATTCAGGCCTCTATTTGATAGAACTGCTTCAGTGAGCAAAGTGGAACTGAAAAAGGAATTTTCCAAGTTGTGTTAGCTCAACTACTCTATGAAATATGTAACTTTACATCCAAAAGGAGAACACTTACTTAAAGGGACAGTCTAGGCTCATTCCCCTTGTGCAATACTTTTCTTGTGTGTCACCTGTGGTTGTTCAGTTAATATTAAAAATTGAGATTTGTCAATGCAGCTTGTTGCACTGCAACGTCAACTGCACTGATGATGATAACAGGTGCTACCATGGGTGGCTGCAGCAACAGTTCCTGACACATTTTTCTTTTGGGCAATATATAGCTAGGAAGTAGGAGTACATTCAGTCTATTCTTTAACATAAATTTAATCATCTTGCAAAGCTGTTCCCTTCCTCTTGTTCCTGCTGCTTGCCACAAGCAGACCACCTTGCACCTCTAACACAGGCACCATGTGAACTTAGACGTGGTCACTGACCCTCTACCCAACCCTTGCTTCACTCTACAAGTGTTTTGCCTCCACTGAATGGATGTGCCCACAACCTTTCCCCTCGTGTGGCGTGTGCTTCTGGGGCTGTGCTCTTGGGCACGAGGGCTGCTGAAGGGCAGTGCCTGTCAGCACCATGGAGAGGGGCTTGGTGCTCAGCACCTTCGTGCCTCGAGCAGCAAGGTTGGTACCTCGCAGCTTTCTCCCCACTCCTAGTAGCCCCTGTGGCTAAGATGGCCCTTCAGAAGCACATGTATTTTCTTGAATTGAGGGCAACCAGTTTACCTGACTTTCCCTTGGCAGTGAACCACTGAATGCTTAGAGAGCAACCCACACTCCTTGGGTCTAGCTGGAGCACCGTGATTCCTCTGTCTTTAACGCCTAGCCTGGATGCATCCCTCTTGCTAGGAGGGTGAGCTCTGGCTACCTTGTGAATGCTGCCCGTTTCTGCTCTCTGTGGATCTTGTCATGCTCAAGAGGTCAAAGACTTAGACTGTTTACTCACAGCTTTATCAGCACCTGTCATTTCTGTGCCTTTTTCAGCTTACCTCACGTTCTCTGCTCTAGTAATCAGTAGCAACAGCGCAAATTGTCGCAAATGGTCTCAGAATGGGCAAATGGTGTGTTATTACATGGTGGTTCTGCCACTTTCAGGAATCAAATAGCCTCAATTAGATTTACATTGACATCCTAAAAATATACTGCATATAACTTGTAATTGCTTATAACTCAGCCTTATTTCTTGATAGGTGAAATAAATTGATTGGGCTGTGATAGATCTGTTTGAGTGATTCAGGGTACAGGTGACACCATCAACTCTTGCTTAATGCCATCAGCATAACTTAGATCTTCTGAGCTGGCAAAAAAAGTTAATTAAGATGTTCCTGTATCTTTGCTTCTTTGGAGACTGAGTACCTTTTATACACTTAGCTCAATCTCTGAATTAGTAGTGTAATTACTTTAAAAATCATATTTTATGTTCTATGATTTTGATATTTAAGTAACTTGCCACTTTTTGTTTTCTTTACAGCTGCTTTTGCTGGAGTTGTGCATTGGTAAGCTTATATTTATTAACTGAGAGTAATAGGATATTGTAAAATAATAAAAATGTCATTTTGACTTTTACCCAGATATACTTTGGAGTTTATTTATCTTCAGATCTTTTCTCTCTAAACCAAAGTGTAATCTCTGAGATCAGTAATTTTGTTCTTTTCAAGTTAACTTAAAAGGTTTCTTAAGGCTGTTCAGCCAAGAACTTCCTTTCCCAGTGGAAAATGTTGCCTGGCTCTCCAAGTTCAGGTGTATTTCTATTAGCAGACCTTGAGCTGATTTTGAGGGTCCAGGTTAAATCCTTTCAGCTTTTATCCTACATTTAGATTATTTACATTTTTACATTTTGCTTTCATTTCTTGTCTTAACATCATGCTTCCTACTCTGTCATAAGAGAGGGTTGGCAAGTATTTTTTTGTCCAGAAGAGTGTCTTTTCAGCTGCTTTTTGTCAATATCATCATGTGTTTCAGGTTCCATTCCAATCCTCACCCTCTGTTTTTGTAGTAGTGACCTGTAGTAGTGTAGAGAATAGAATGGCCTCTACAGTGATTTTTTTTCTCCTCCCAGCTGTGCTTGCAGAGATAAAAAGTAACAGATGCTGCTACTCTGTTTTTGCTTTCTGTCTGAAAGAGAGCTAACCATTGTTGTGGTCTGTTTCTTGTAAATGTCTGCCTAAAAGCAGAAGCATTTGCACTGCTCCATTTCTTTTTATTTTTTTCCCCCATGCTTTTTAGAGATAAAGCTTAGAATTTGCAAATAATTATGGGGGCAAAACTTGTATTTATTCTGGTTTTTCATTTTTTTTCATATCTGCCTCTTCATTTAAATAAGCACGCATCTTTGTAGTTGCAGGAAACTGCATTGCGAGATAAGTCAGGAAACATTTTTATGGAAAAAGCATGTAGGACATATATGTGCGCTGTAGTATTTCCACTAGTTGTTATTCCGTCCTTTTCATTGTCCTTGTTTTCATTTGTATTTTCTTTCTCGCAGTATAGACTTCTTGGTTTTAGTAATATTGAAAATTTGATTGTTAACTCGTTCCACTTTAAAAAGCTTCACAGTGTTTTATAACATATATATAATAGATCTTAATAAATGGCCTATAGTTTCATGTTTGTTTTTGTTTGTCTGTTTTTGCTTTTAAAATACTCTGAATAGAATTCTTGAAGTATCTGAGTAAATTAAAGTATCAGTTTGTAATTTAGTTGTCGTTAGGCAACTGTTTGAACAGTATTTCCTGATATGTGTCACATAGCACAGGTTCTTAAACACTTTATTCCTTTTTTCTTAAAATTAATCTTCTTAGGTTTTTTCTTTCTTTTTTCCTTTTTCTTCTTTAACAGGTGTCATATAACAACTCTTTTTGAAAATGACCGTCACTTCTCTCACCTGTCAACGCTCGAAAGAGAAATGGCTTTTCGCACTGAAATGGTTAGATTATCTTTTCAACAAAAATTCAGTGATTGGAAAACTTCTGTCTATAATCTTGTGATCGTGGACCTTCCACAATAATACTTTCTCTGATTGCACTTTTACCTATAGAGCGTTTATGTGTCTTATAATTCATGTGAATGTATCTCATCAAATAATTTGCTTAAAATACAGTTTAAAAATATGATTCAAAATGACCTAAAATACAGCGCTGTGGGTATCCTGGAACGTGCTTTCAATTACAGCTATGTTATTTAGCATTTTTTAAAAATCATTTTATTTGTTAACAAATTTTGCGTATGTATACATCTTTTTTTTCTGCTTTTTTTTGTTTGTTTTGAGAATTGTACACTGCTGTGGTAGTGCACGCTGCTGCCAGAATGAGAGATTTTGAGGTGAGACCAGATGGAAGGAAGCCCACCTTGCTCTTTTTAACCGTAGAAGACAATTGGAAGTCTTGAATGGTTTTGTCCTGTTTTGTTGTAATGAAAAACTGCATATAGAAATGAAGCCCGTCTACATGACACTTCATGAAGCAGAAGTGACCTTTTTAATGCTAACTAATAATTCTGTATTTTTGTAGGGTCTTTACTATTCCTACTTCAAGACCATTGTTGAGGCACCTTCATTTTGGAATGGAGTTTGGGCAATTATGAATGACAAACTAACTGAATATCCTTTAGTGATTAACACTTTACAGAGGTTCAATCTTTACCCAGAGGTAAGCCATATTTTGAAAAGTCTACCTTCTGAGAAGACTTTGACTTCTTTAAATTTGTTTATAAGTTTGTAAGAAATCTTACAAACTTATGGATAGTTAACATTCTAAGAGTTCCTTTATGTCCAATCATATATGAATGTTTGCTATGTGTAAATTATTCATCCCTAAAGTTGCAGTCAAATTCTGTACATTTGTCTGTCTTTTTTGTTCTTTCAGGGAAAGTGAAGTTCTTAGTCTGGTTGTAACACTAAAGGGCTTGCGTCCTAGTACAGAAACTTCTGTTTTTCTCCTGTTTACTGTTGTGAAATGTGGTGTGATGGTGCATACACTTCTCCCTGTGTGTCTCAATTTCTTTGAAAAGGAAAACCTTCTTTGATTAATCTAATTTGGTGTAACTACATGTGTCAGTAAGCTTTTTGAGGAGCCGTGAGGTAATAATCATTGCTGTAACTGTTAGGTACTCGCATTTATACTTATTCTCCTGCTCTGGATCAGAGCTTCTCCAGGAATTACATGTTTTAAGAGTTTTCTACATGTGTTTTGCACAACTTGCATATACTTGTTTCATTTGCTTTATTTCCTTCCTCTGGAACAGCTAAATGCTGCAGACTACTGCTTCTTTGTTATCACCACTTTTATTTACTTATCTTAATAAGAGAGATTCAAACTCGTCTTTAGAAATGTAATCTTTGGAACAGCTGCCTTATTTGAATAGTATCTATTTATTTTTCTTTATAAAAAGTGTATTGGCTTTGGTTACAATATGACTAGTAAAAATCAAAGGTATCTGATAATTCAGTTAGAGCAAAATCATTTTATTAGTAGCAGAATTTAAGTTGTCTCAGTAAACTGGATGATAAACTCAATATTATTTGACTGATAACCCCAATGTTATAACTTTCCAAACCATTTAGCTGGCATGATCACCTTACTTATTTCTGAGGTCTATAAAGTCTGTGTGTTCTGATGGAATAGCTTCTTAATATTAACTATGTCTTTGTCATGAAGTGAGTCTTAGTCTTTCTATATGTAGAACGCTGATGCCATCTTTGTCAAGTGTTGATGTTTTATTTGCTTATTATTATAATAACGTTAATACCCTTGCACAGAAAATGGAAGTCCTGTCATATACTACATAGAAACCTCTCTAACATGCATTTAAAATTAACCTATCAGAGTTGATATGAGCTGAAATGCTAAATATCTAAACCATTAATATTCTTGCTAAGTCAACATCTTTTTTTAATTGACTTCAATTCAATTAGGCTATCTATCCTCTCTCAACAAAACGTAGAGTTTTCGAACCATTTTGGTATATTAGAGATTAATAGTGAATCTTCGATAGAATACTGAAATATACCGATTTTTCCAAATGCTTCACCTTGATGGCTGAAATAATTACTCTTCTAGAGCCAGCAAAATTTAACTCCCTTAGTCAGTAGCTGGTCTGTGTTGGGTGCTTTCAGTGAATTGTGCTCCACAATGCTCAGTTTTTTCGATAAATTTTAAGCTTGAAAGAGTATTGTGCCTGAGGTCCAGTTGTCATGAAATGTTGCCTAGCCTCCAAGTTCCTTTTAGAAACTTCCAGTGCTGTGTCCCTCGCAGGTGGTCCTCGCGAGCTGGTACCGCCTGTACACGACCGTCATGGATTACCTGGGCGTTCCCACAAAGATGTGCTGGACAGTGAACAGAGGCACGGGGCTGAGCCCTGTGGAAAGCTGTGAGGGTGAGTTGTGTTTTGGTCCAGGTACTTCCTGGAAAAATGTAGCTGCAGCTTTGCACGTTTTGGAAGGAATAAATATTCCTTTGATAGGTCTTTATCAGTATGTGCTGTAATTTGGCTGAGTCTTTGTTTTGGGCAAATTGACGACATATGAGACGAGCACAAAAGAGGGTACTTCGAAAAAAAATCAAGGGTGAAGATGTGACCTTTGCCTATTAGATAGCAACTCCAATCCACGTAGGACTTCGGCACTATATTTCACAGACGAAGTCTGAGCTTTTATAATCTTGGGTTGGTATAAAGAGAAAAGTGTCACTAAATGTAATCTAAGGTCACTGGATATGTAGTAACTTTTTTTTTGTAGTTTCTAAAGAATCTCCTATACATTTTGAGTCTAACGTTTTAGATTCTTCCCCTCTGTATTTCTTCCTGAAGCCAGAACTTGAGGGGAGAGGAGAGAAGAAAGGGAAAACACAAGGCTGTCTTTTGAAGGATGTCACAAGGCTGTCTTTTCTGTAGTGATTCTGCTGGGAAAATCTTCCTAATATTCAGTTGAAGAATTATGATTCTGGTGTCAAGGCCTGGATGCTGCCACTGCTTTCCATTTCTTTTTCCTCGGTAGTTAAAAGAGTGCTGATGCTGGCTTGTCAAGTTTTATGTGATGAAAGTACCTTGCCCAGAAACACTGTTGTGTTGTTTTATAGCCAGTTATAGCTAAATGATAAAAGGTAGTTTGTGAAGCTATTTCATTTTATCACTTAAAATGTCTTCAAGCAGTGACATGTTAATATTTTTCCATTGCATAAAGGCTGTAAGAACTTTCTTGAGCCTTGAACCATTCACTTTCTCTAATTTTGTCAGAAGTAATAATAGTGAATAAATTGTAACTTATCCTCTCTTTTGGAGAAGTAGAGGAGGAAGAAAAACTTTCTCAAGACTTCCATGTTTGGTGGGCAAATCGTCATCTTCACTTGCAGAACTTCCTGCGTTTTAAGCAAACGGAGTAATCATTTCTGCAGACCGCACTCTGGGATTTTGTTAGATCCTCTGTAGTGAACATGAGGTTTTATGCTGTATAGCTGCACTGATTAGAGCCAGGAGGGTTTAAAAATAATGGGAAAGAAAAGAGTAATAGGCATGGGAACAAAAAATGTACATGAATACATGAATGGAAAGCCTTGCATTATTGGAAGAACTCTTCGTTCCTAATGAAACAGAGTGAAGAGCATTTGTGGTACAGTGATATTATGTAAGGATGACTTGAGCTCCTGCAAAGAGGGTAGGGATTTAGACTAGGGTGTATGAACCCTTTTGAAAGCCTTTTTATGGAGTCAAAATGTGATCTTTGGAGCATGTTCTTGTAGTCAAGCTTATCTCAGATACATTTCTTTTTAATGTGCCTTTCTTTATGCTGACTGCTCAAAAGTTGTCTATCTCCCTTTTTAGGGGTGTAGTCCTTAAATTTAGTCACCCTAATAAGCTTGGTGACACCTCTTTTGCTTTTCTGTTTCTGTAGATATAGCAGTATGCTCTGTGCCATATTATGCTGACTTTGTTGTGGTTTTTAAACAATGTAATCTTTCATATATTTTGGCAGTATGTGCTAACTGTTTGTTTGTTAGGCCTGGGGGACCCAGCTTCCTTTTATGTTGCTGTGATTTTTCTTTTGAACGGATTAATGATGTCACTGTTCTTCATATATGGCACATACCTAAGGTAAGATCGTTGTGACTGAATTATTTAATTGGCACTGGTTGTCAGTTTTTATAGTAAAATTTTAAAAAGTGAATAATAAAGTGTTTTAATGGCATGTTGTTATTTGTTTGTACAATAGTACTGTTTTTTATTACAATATACATTGTCTTGAAGTATTACTGGGACAGAGGCTAGTTGATTGAAACTAATGATGATTCTTTGCCTGAAGTCATATTGCATTTCATTCATTTTTAATGTAACTGAGAAGGAAAAATATTCCAAGCAAATGCATTTATTTTGCAGGCAATTGTATACACTTCTCCTTTTCTGTAAATTTCCTTTTTCAGTATGTGTCCTAAAGTTTCAGGAACCATAATACATTGTCCTATGAAAATAGGTTTCACACTCACAGGAAAAAAAAAAAAAAAAAAAACAGAAGTAAAAACACTTTTACAATTTTATTTTCATAGGCCAGCTGTGCAAAAATGAAAAAGTGTGCTATGTTTTCCTCTAAGAAATGTGAAGTTTATTCCCCCTCATTCCCTGGCTTCACTCTCCTGTGTTCTGTTCTTGCTCTCTCAGAAGCATATGCTGATTCTGAGGAGAGCTGAAAGTTCAAATAAGGAATGGTGCAGGGCAGGAGCCAAATGTGGCAGTGAAAAGGGGAAGTTGCCAGTCGAAGGCATTTGGGCTGTAGTCTGTTTGTGTTTCTCCGTGCAAGGAATGAATGCCTCATGCTTTGGGGAAGTAAATAAACTTTGAATATTAATATTGTTATTGTCAAACTTCTCTTAAGGAAGATGTTTAGAAATCAACATTTCGTGCTAATGTCATTGAAAAGTCAGTTTTGTCTTAAATTCAGAGTATTGTATGTTCGGATGTGTTATATAAATATTAGTCTTGTAAAAATATATGAAGTATTGAGAGTAATTAAATTTTAAATGTGAATGATCTGCAGTGTAGGTAGTCAAGACAATTAGAGTATAAATGCAGTTCTTCCAATGTAAAAGCCACTAGCTCTCTGGGGTTGCAAAAGCTGCCTGACTACACAGTTTCCTGACTAGTTTTATGGTGCTATGTATTCTGAAGAAAGTCATAATTGGATACTAGATTTAGATGACTGCTTAGTCTTTATGGTAGTTTCAAAGTTCCTCTTAATTAAGGAATTTAAGGAATAATTATACTTTTGCATAAAATGTGGAAAAAAAACAATACACCATTGCAGAACAATCCAATACACTGAAGTAGGTAACATATGTGGTGGCAAGTGGCAAGTCTCCTTCCTAAAACGATTTTGTTTCTGCTATGGCTTTTGAAGGGCTTTTTTGTTGCCTGACTTATTTGATCATGGGAGACTGTGATATTTTAACATTTCATCCCTGAATTTATTCTCAGCAGTACCTCTAGTATTGTTCTATGTAATTCTTATTATTATTCTCACTGTATGTATTCATGGAGTGTGCACTTTATTTTCATAAAAATAAAGCTTATTTTTATGGCTTGACAACTCCTTGGCTTATTTTAGTGTGCTCACAACTTTGAGGGATGGGAGGTGAAAGGATTGTGCAAGACCACGTTGCTCCTTAGTTTTCCAAATTAGCATATGCCCCCTCTTCTCTATAGTGAGCCTGATCAAGGAGTTAACTAGAAAATAGTGGAAAACTAGTTGTTTTTGTAGATTTTTTTTTTTCCCTCCTGCTTAGCTTCCTGTTTTATTTCTCTACCAGGTTAGAGGATAATCAGGCATGGAAATATGTGGCCAACTATGAGAAGGGGCAGAAGGATCCTTTTCAGCAGCAGCTGATGTTGAATTGCCTTAGCTGTAATGTGAAACTGTAACTGTTGTTTATGGAAAACGCATGGAAATATTTTTGTGTGACGCAAATGAGTGTCGAGCTCCCGCAAGGTCTGATAATTGACAAAAATAGGTAATTGGAGCAGTGTGCTGAGGACTCGTGAACTTTTCTGAACAAGGGACTTGCATTTGGATGATAAATATGCTATGAAAGCCTAAGGGTTTTTTCCTGTTAGCAAATAACGTTTCTAGCTCAATCTTGCCCGTGCCCCTCCCTGAAATATGCAGTGTAGTTTCCTCTTCTGGGAAGAGGTGCTGACAAGCAGCCCTGGTTTTGCTTACAGATTTTCTGATCTTTTCTCATGTGGTATAACTCTGATCCCTTAGAAAGGCCAGTATCTTTAAGGCACTTGCAATGCAATTAAGGCCTGGCATGCTAGATTTGAAGGTTTTATCAGCATGTTAACCCTTAGCATAATCCTTGAGTATTTTGTGAGTGTGCGTGTGTGCACGTGTAAGCTTTTAGCTTGCTCTAAGACTTAATCTTAAAGAACGTTCCTTTAATCATTCTGTTTGTCCGGGTTGATGCTTTCAGTAGTTGTGGAACTAGAGGTTTTTGCTATGTGCAAGAGTGCACGTTTCCTAGAGATTGTTCTAGCTCTCAGCTGGTGTCTTTAATCCTCAGATATTGTACCCAGAAATCACTGATACTGTTTGACCTGTGTATTAGTGATGGGGGAAGGATCTGAGAGAATGTGAGAATATTTTAAAATACAACAGCTGGCTGATATTTTTGTTTAGTAACAAAAGCGATAGTTGGTCTCAAATCTCTTTTTTTATTTGCAATTTTACCTTTCTTGCGCATTGCTATGGAACAAACAGTTGCACAGATCTCCCGTAACAACTCTGAAACTAACGAGCTATTGACTGTCCTGTTTGTGTTTTCTGACTAAATGTGCATTGAAACACTCTGGAGGGTTAAGATTACTTACAATTAACTAGCCAGAATGATAAGAGAATGTTTGAAACACGAACAAGATGCACGCTATTTGTTAGAAATAGTAAAGCCCTATGGCAAATACAATTCTTGAATACATAAATGCAGAAGCAATGTAATAATTGAAATATATTATGGAGTACTTTAGCAGTTAGAGTTAGTAGTGCTGTTGCACTGTTCTTTCTCTTTAAATCACTTAAGTTGTCTAAGATGTGTATTTATAATAAGCATGCTGGCTTTCATTCTCCTAACTTTAGAATAGTACTTTGCATTTAAATGACTAGCATAGCTAAAGGATGTTGTTTCTTTTAATCACCTTTTGAATAATTGAGTGGTAAACGTTTTTCTACCAAGTCACAGACATCCTCATGCTCTGGTGTGATGTGAAAGGGCAATATGTCTATATTGCCATCCTCCTGCACAAATTAAATCTTACATATTATGTCTAATGCATGCTCTTCCACTCTTGTTTTAGGCTAAGTGCTGGCGCTTCAGCATCAGAAATTCGCTTTAGTACACTAAGAGGGACACTGATAATATTTTTAAACTTAATTCTTAATGCATGTATAGCTTTCATTTCTCCCTTCCCCCTTTCAAATATTAGTGTTATCTTCTTTTGAACACTATGTAGTAATACTCACTTTATGTTTCATCCTATGGGATGCAGCATGAGATTTGCTATTATACCCACCTGCACTGTACTGTGCCAAGGTGCTATTTTGGCATAGAGATGGGAAATATTGAATTACTCTGTTCTTCTGTTAGGCAAACTTAAAATTAGCAAGAGTTTGTTCAAGTCAAATATGTATATTGCAAAATGGTCACTAACATGCAAATCTGGCAGTAGGTGTTATGGACAGATTTTTTTGTTTTTCTGTCTTTGTTTTTAAAATGCAATGTCTGCATTGTGAATAGGAAATATGAAGCAGTTTCCTTGTAAGGAATTTATTTACAAATTTGGATTTTACATTCCTTGTTGACAGCAGAAATCAATGAGGTGATTACTAGACTGTTGGCTATAATAAATTCGGCATTTTGTTGTTACTTAATTTGTTGGTTGGAATGTGTGAGTTTACCTTCTCTGAGAACTGAACTGGTGGTTTATTTTGAGAGTGTGTAACGTTTAAAAAAAAAAAAAAAGAGCTACAATATATCAAGTATAAAAATAAAGCTGGAAGATCAATGTACAGGCGTAAGGGCACATTGTTGTTAACCACTGTAAAGCTTTTGTAAAAGCTAAGGTAGAAGAATATTGCTTGGATAAAGGCAATGTTCTGTAAGGGAGAGAGACCTGAGAAAAGGCTGCTGCTTTTCTGCTTCCCCCTCCAGTTTTCCTGGCCGTTGCTATTCAGAGCCCTCAGAGAAAGCGACAGCATCTATCTGAAGAGCTTAGAGAGAGCTTAGAGCTAGCTGAGAAAAGCAGCAGGGAGAGGAAGAAGAGCTGAGGAAAAAGTAGGTGTGTGGAAGGGTAGCGAAGAGAATGCAGTGCCAGGGGCAGCAGGCGTTAGATGAAGGATGCATGTTTTTTTCCAGGGGGTAAGTGAGAAGCATAGGAAGCAGAATGCTAGGGCCACGCTCAGCAGTCTGGAGGTGTGAATGGGAGCAAGCTGCCCGGGAGGAATGTGGTGGTTTAGACTTGCTACTGGATATGATTATGGCTCTGCAGCTCTTCGTGTGGGTCAGGACCCTGCAACTCCCTTCAGGCCATCTCTGCTCTCGTATTGCTAGTCTGGATAGGTGCATGTGGGGAAGCTTAGCAATGGAGAGCAGTGTCACCAGTTTGTAGGCTCAGAAGCAAGGTGAGGTACGAGAGCTCTCTTCCCCATCTTTCCATAACGAGTGGAAATGAGAGCACGCTGCCATGTAGGCATGCTCTTGCATGGACAAGTAGTACATCAGGTTAATGAGGAAATTCAACTGCCCGCAGTTAGGACAGAGCACTGCGAGCCCTTGGTGTTTTACCTGTTTGTGCATTGAGGCTGGGCAAGAAATCCCAGTTCAGCTGTATGGGCAGGAGAGGGAACAGGAGCAGCGTCTGCTCCAGCCTTGTGACGAGAAGCAGGAGTGGGACACGCAGCGGAAGGTTCTAATCCGGTGTTAAAATGCTGCCTTCTGGTGCCCGGTGGTGATTTGGGACCGCCGTCACCTAGCAGTAGCGCGCTTGTTTGCCGAGGAGTTTCTTTGCTTTATGCCCCAGAGGGCGGATAACTACAAAGCTCGTCAAACAACATGGGAACCTTATTTAGTGCTGCTTTGAGGTGGGAAGATTGTAAGTGCTGTTTTTCTTCTCAAAATTGACTCCTATGTGCTAATTAGATGACAAGTCAACTCGATCAGTTTAGAAACCTATAGAAATCCTTAGGTTGAAGGCTAAAAAAAGACCTTATGCTAATGTTACAGTATTTCATATAAGAATTATACGTTACATGTGTTATACATGTTATATGGTAGATGAGCTCATTTTTAAATAATTTTTTGAATTCGCCTGATTTGAATAACCTGTCATAGACTTCTGTTCAGACCAAAAATTGCAAAGATGCCCAAAATTTGGATGATGAAGCATCATCCCCTCGTAATGTCCCCTTCTTGGCAGCTTAGGGAAGAAATATCTCATTCTATCGCATGGCATTCAGGCAAACGCTCAGCACTTCTCAAATCCAAGCTGTAAGGACATCAGAATGAAGGCCATAGTGAGTAGGTGTCGCTGCTATTGCTGATGCCATGATCAAAACCAAAGTGTGTGACAGAGCAGTAATTGTTCTGCTAGTTGTTTCTCTTAGAGTCTTGAAATATCCCGCAGAAAGGAGCTGATACATGAGGAATAGCCCGTTGTGGAACAAGCACGAGTTGACCAGCTAGTTCATGTTTGTGTTGCATTCTAAATTGCTTCCCCTTGATGCATGAATAATATTTTTACCCCTTGTGAACTTCAGTGAGAATACGGCCACAGATTCCAACTTCGGTGTATGTAGCCGCATTTCTGAAGCAATGTTGGCTATTACAAGATTTTGCTGTATTTAATTTTTAATTATTTTTCATGTTCTTTTCACAGTGGGAGCCGTCTAGGAGGCCTCGTTACTGTGATATGTTACTTTTTCAACCATGGAGAGGTAGGTCTTTTTTTTTTGATCAAGTTAGGTGTCACTTCATTAGATAGAGTGATATTGCTTGTCTATTTTGGGGCAGATATAAAGGATTGATTAAAAAAAAAAAAAAAGGAATAATGTATTACCAAATATAGAGTAATAGTGACTTGAAAATTTGTAGCACCGTTTAATGTGCCCCCTTTGATGCAAAAAGGAGATGTAGAAGGAAAACATCCATGTTCTATATGTCTGTTTGGGACATTTAACGAGAGTAAATAGCATACTTGAGCTCTGGTATAATGTCTGGACTAATTCTTCTAGGAAAGATAAGAAATACTGAAACCTAAGAGAAAATTAGTGTTATCTAGCCTAGCTTGATCAATTAATTAATAATCCTCTGCTAAACTTTGACTGGTAGTGTTCTTATTATTTACCAGCAGAATACTAGCAAATTTATTCAAACCTTTCAGTAAGTCAAATTAAGTATGCATTTATAGAATATGTTTGTTTCCTTGAAACCTATATCTGAAAGAGAAGAAACTGTGAGGGAAGAAAATTTATAGTAATGCATTTGTGGAACTGAAATCTTAGTAGCACAGGGACTTTAAGTTTCAAAATGTCAGAAGTTTTTCTCTCTGTCCCCATTCCAAGCATAACTGGACTAAATGTACTATATGGACAAGCTTCAGAAATGGAGGAGACTTTCTGTATATTACCATATGTTTTATCAGAAATTCATAAACATTAAAAAAGACTGTAATACTATTTTCAAATGCTCTACTAATATTTAGTATACTCTTGATATACATTGCATTTAGAAATAAAATGCAAATATATAATAGTCTAATGCTAAACATATTTAGGAAGCTGGTTGAACAGGGGATGGAAAAAGAGCTTTCCACCTAAAATTTCCTCTTCTGCTCTCAGCAAGTGTTCCTGTCAAAGTTTTTGTGTGTTCTTGGCCTCCCTGCATCACTTCCGATGTAAATGAGATCTCCTATCATTTTGTTGAGTTCAGTCTCCATCTTGTTTTCTTAGTTTACAGAAATGAACTTTATAGAGATCTCTTAGTGGTAACAAAATATAACTGTATGTTATAGAATGAAAAATTATTTTACTTATAAGCTTTGTTTTTTTTCCTAAAAAATCTTCTTGGTGAAATAGCTATTTTTTTAAGTTTATTTTCAAATGTTTTTCTCTAAATATCCTTTGTGCAGAGTTTTTGTCTATGGATATTAACTTCCTGAAAGAACTCAGATAAATGTTAGTGTTTCTAAACCTTTTCTTTTGTGTGCTGTAAGTGCTTGCAGACTTTTGCATGGGTTTCCATTCTTACTAATACCCTTCTGGAAGTGAATTTGTTATTTTCATCCTTTGTCAGGAGATACTGATATAGCATGTGCTGTTTTGCTGAACCTGTGAAGAGGATCAATTGTAGCTTAGGAAAGGAGTAGGCTGGAAGCATCCAAGACAGTGGTAGCAAGGCAGTGATAGCAACTTGCCTCCCTGTGGTACAGCCAGTTTTCCATTATAGGGCTGCCCGGACCTGGGGAGAGGCCGTGGATATTTGGGACAAGGGCGTCACGGTGGCACCCGTGTCCTGGGGCTTATGTGGAGCCTCAATATTGCATCTGAGTTGGTCTCACCTGTGGGTTTAGATTTCTGGGAAGGAAGGAGGGCTTCTACTACACCTAATCAGGGAACTCTTTGGGAATTTGATATGCTTTTTTGGCTATGGGAGTCCTTTTGCATGTCATTCAACAGCATCCACTGTGGAGTGAGATGGGTTCTGAAAAGGCTGCTTCCCTTAAAGCAGAGGGCTGAGCTGCAAGAGCCTGCTTGTTTTGTGAGGCTTGTTAGCTCGGATTTGATGCCCTGTCGAAGAGGTTGACCTGCAGTTTAGCTGCAGTATGTTTTGATTTGTGTGCTTGTGTTAATGCATTTTAATGATCCCAAACCCAGACGAGCCTTACATGCCTATACCTGCAAGAAAGGTGGTTTGCATATCTAGTAAACTGTCCACCCATGATTTAGTGTTACTTTCCAAATATAGAAAAGTAACATGGGTTGCAATGGTTCATATACTGCTAAGGTAAAGCTTCGTTTTTATGGTTGTACATCCTCACCATTTCTTTCCCCTTTTTTCTCTGTTATAAAAGATTTAGTAAATCAAATGTTGCTATACTCTTGAAAAGTAAAAGAACCCCATAATCCTGATAATTCTAAAGCAGTGGAATCTTTATCAATAACCTTTTCTAAAGCAATCATGTCTTTCAATCAGCTGAAGATAGCATGTTACCTTTTATACTGATGAGAAATATATTTTAATAGCCATCAGGATGCAAATGTTAGAGGGAATCCTGTCAGACTATAAGGTTTGTGTTTGAATGTGACTGTCTTCCATTCTTTCCATTTATTTTTACACTATTAACATTTATAAAATAGCAAACAATAAATGATGAATGTTGCAGTACAGCTGCTCATGACTTTCAGTGAAGCAACACCTTAAGAATGTTTCTGATGTTATAGGAATCAGAAGGGATATCTCCTCGTTGAGCTCTATCCCTTCTATCTCAACATTGCCTACTGGCAACTGTCGTAAATTTATTGTGATCCATGATAGAATGAGAAAGTCTTTGTGCTGTAGTAGTGAAGAACTTTCGTGTGACTTTATCCTGAATCTTTTCATCATTCTAAACCCATTTATTTGTATGCTGACTTCTGCTAGAAACCTTTTTATCCCCACAATGCTTATAATAAAATATTTTAAGACACAGTTTTATTTTGTCAGCCTCCATGTAATTTATTTTGAGTAAGCGAAACCCTTCCATGTTTCCACTTTTCAGATAGGATCTCCAGTATCAGCTTTTGTACCAGTCTTTGTTCCACCTCTTTTAGTTGATCTTCCTTTGCAATTTGTGAACAGAGCTGTCTTCTCAGCAGTCTTCTCAGGGGCTTATATTACCAGGCATTTAGGTATTTTTCTTCCAGCTGAAGTATGGTTTTTTTTTACGATTAAGTCTATAGCTAATTGGTTTTACTTATTTATTTTTTTCCATTATCAGTCTTGAGTTGCATGTGAATAATGATGTGCAAGGATTTATGTGCCTTTTTAACAATTTAAATTGTTTTGTTTGTTCTGGAGTGTATTGTACCAGCCGATCACAGACATGACACGGGCATGAATAGTATTTTAGACTGTGAAGGAGAGGAACTGGAGGCTCCTGCTGGCAGTGCTTACGTGTTTCCTGGCTGCAGCCTCAGTGACACCAGTCCTACAGAGACAAATCACTTAATAATGAACAAAGTAGTAGACAAAGGAGAACGTGCAGTAGTGTTGCGTAGGACAGATTTATGTAAGAAAAGCTGCAGGAATGTGTAGTTATTTCTTTAAAGCATACTGAGCAATTCTGCAAGAAACATTGAGTGCAAAGCTGTAAGCATGATTCTCTCAGTTGCAACGGTACATAAATACAAACCAGATGATGGTAAATATGAAGTAAATACAAAGATGATCTTTTTTCAAAGTATTTTTTCCCTAAATATAGGCAGAAAACTCCATGTGTGATAGCTACAAAGTGGTAATCAAAGTTATTCTCTGGCTAGGTCATGGATTTTCAATAATTGTGTTTGTTTCATCTGGACTCATGTTTTTTTTTTTTTTCTTTACAACAGATTCTCTATAAAGTATAATATTCTTTGGGTGATAAACAGCTTATGCATCTGAATGAACATTGTATGTAAAATTGAAAAAAATATAAACACACTATTTGTGTAAATATTAAATTCAAATGGGAATGGAGTTTAAAGTAACGTGCTACGGATTCCCCACAATTAATGAAAAAACTATTCAGTTGATCTCATTGCCTTAGTCTTTGTCACGTTAGGCTTAAAGAGTAAAGGGTATAAGTCACTATAGCTCTGGAAGAGCTTAGATTCATTGCTGAATTTAACTGGCTGACAGGACGGCTACAAAAAAAGAGCTTCCCCTCTGCTCAGCTCTGGTGAGGCCCCACCTGGAGTACTGGGGGCAGTTCTGGGCTTCCCAGTACAAGAGGGATGTGGAGCTCCTGGAGAGGGTCCAGTGCAGAGCAACAAAGATGATCAAGGGACTGGAGCATCTCTTGTGTGAGGAGAAAATAAGTGAGCTGGGCCTGTTTAGCCTAGAGAAGAGAAGATTGAGAGGGGATCTTATCAATATGCGTAAGTACATGAAGGGGGAATGTAGGGAGCAAGGGTCCAAGCTCTTCTCAGTGGTGACCAGTGACAGGACAAGGGGCAGCGGGTACAAGCTGAAACACAGGCAGTTCCATCTCCATGTGAGGAAGAATTTCTTTCCTATGGGGCTGACAGAGCCCTGGCACAGGCTGCCCAGGGAGGTTGTGGAGGCTCCTTCTCTGGAGGTCTTCAAAACCCACCTGGATGCCGCCCTGTGCCACATGCTCTGGGTGTCCCTGCTGGAGCAGGGGGGTTGGACTAGGTCATCTCTAGAGGGCCCTTCCAACCTCAAACATCCTGTGATTCTGTGAAGTTCTGTACTTTCTATGTTGTTGCTGCTGGAAATTTAAAGTGTTTATAGCCTGGAGAGCTCTAGCAAAATGAAGAATAATGAAGAGCATGTTGATTTATCCTTCACATCCTCTTGCCATACACTGTCCATGTAAGTGTGGCAAGTCACTGCCTGAATTTCAGAATGGTTTTCGTTACTTAAATGACTTTGGTTACCTGAATTTCAGCAGAAACGGCAACAAGCAGCCACTGTCGTGGCCTTTCTTCTGTGATGCTACCTAACTGTAACATACAATATTGGAAAAGCAATAATCCCTTTAAGTTTTCATATTTCAGGAGAATGAGCCTACAGTAACAGTCTGAAAAAAAGGACATCACAGAATTCAAGTCTGAAAGCTGCTTGTTTTGTCCTTCCTTCTGCTTTCTGGCATGTTGCTTTGTTAGCTTATGAGTTAAAAGCTCATCTTGTTTGGTTTTGCTCTATTGAAGTGTCAGTAGTCCTTCACTTTGAAATACAAATGCATTGCTTTCTGGAAATATAGCAGCAAGCATCAGCTAACCCACTTCTTATTTTTAGTGTACTCGTGTCATGTGGACTCCACCTCTTCGTGAAAGTTTCTCATACCCATTCCTTGTTCTTCAGATGTTGCTTTTGACCTATATTCTCAGGTACCTTTCAGTTTATACTTAGCTATTTACAATTATTTTAAAAAATGAATGTCACAGGGCATTATTTGAATGCTGTGTTTTGCAAATTGGATTTTTCTTGTGCCTTATCAGCTATTGCTAATTCCAATGTCTTTGTATGCTGCAGCAGTGGTATCGTTAGCACAGAAACTCTCGTGACTGTTCATAGAGCAGCCACTGCACCAGAACTGCAGTCAGATTACTCAGCTTCAAGAGCTGACTGTAATACAAATCACCTTTAACATGCTGGTAAATGTATATGTGGGCTGTAAATTGGGATTGTCAGTGGATTGCTTCCTAGAGCAACAAGCTGATATTCCATTGCCTTAGTTTTGTTCCTCTTAAAGACTGTTGGTTTGGTTGCACTTAGAATATGTCTATGCTACGCGATAGAGGACACTATAGGCACCTGTAAGTATGCCTGGGCAGCTTTCTGTAAGTTAATTAGCTCAAGCTTTTAGAGCAATCTCATCACCTTAACGCAAGGATGCTCTTGAGGTCGTATGCCTTGATTCACAGTGGTTGCTCTTAGTTTGCAGCTTGCTTAGGTGACTATTTTGCCTCTATTTGAAAAACAAGCATGATGCTAGAGGGCTTTTTCACCCAGCTCCTTGCCTGTAGATTCTCAGTGTACTTGTGATTTCACTGAGCTTTGTAATTGCACCTTAGATTTTCCTTTTTCAGATCATGCTGGTTTGTGGTCATTGATTAAAACAAATGCATATTTTACTTCAGTTGTTACTAACCTCTCATTTTTAGGTGGGGCTAAAGGTATATACTGACTAGAAAAATATTTTGAGTAATGGTTTATAAACTGCTTGCTGGATTCTGTATTAGAATGGCACCTATTCATTTAATGCTTATTTCTAAGTGTAAGGTCAAACAAAAGGAAAAAAAACTGCTCTTCAAGTTAGGGCAACCAGAGTGTATGCATTCTGCACCTATAATTGTGATGCTCCTTGATTCTCCTGTTCTTCAAATTTTGCTGTCTATAAAATAGAACTAAAGCTTACTTGCCATTGAGAAGTGGGTGTTTAAGATAGGCATTTCAGCACCAGGTCCTGAAGAGATGTTGAACACTTTAAACTTTCTGCTTCTTAATTATGGTTGCTGCTTTGGGAGCAGGTTTGCTTTAGGTATAGCAGTCTGTTGCTGGAACCCCAGAGCCTGTTTCTTTGGAACACAGGCTAAAATTTAAATCTTCTACTACTTTTAAGTAAAATAGCAGCCTCAAGCTTAGCCTGGCTTCCAGTGTAGTTTAATGCTGAGGCTTTCTAAAAGTACTGATGAGTCATATTATAGAGTTTATCAAGACTGCCGTCATCTGTTGTGTTTGTGGGGGTTCTGTTTGTCTGTTTTTGTTTTCAGCAGGCTTACGGTCTCATCCAGTGGAGGCCAGTTAGTGAAATTTGAAATGTGACTTTTTTCGGAAAGAAAATCAAAACTAACATAGAAATAAATAATTAGCACTCTAAGTAACACTTGGAAAATGTGCTTTGTTGAGTTAAAGGTGTTTCAATTTGGAGAGACAGATCACTATTAAAGAGGATTTCAAGAGTTTCTTTATAGATTTGTTTTTCTCTCCTGCTCTGAAATCTTCATTCCAAGAAGGCACGCTGGCAAAAAGTTGCAGAAAGTTCATGTGGAAAGAAACTTGTGAAATAATAGGATGTTAGAGGAATGTAGTCACTGTCAGATGCAGACCATTCTGAGAATATTTGTGAAAGAAATGGATGTGACATGATTGTTATTACAAGGAGTTGGACCTATGCACGAGGTGTAGTTCAGCCTGTTGTATTACATACTGCCATGAAAGGATATGTCTGATAGATAGTTACTCTTCAGTAAGATATTCTTCAAAACTATTGAAGCTACAGATTTTGGAAACTAAATTTGCTTCAGCTATGTTATCTGTAGTGGATCAATACTGCTAGCTAGTGTTCAAGGTAACCTTGGTTTTACTCTGTGTTCTGCTGTGCTTTTGGATAATATGCAACTATCTGTGTAGCTTAACTTACTGATACCTATTCTGTCTCTTTTTCCCAAGGATTCCGAATATTAATACAGGAAGCTTGATTGCACTGTGTGTTTCTAATGTCTTTTTCATGCTTCCCTGGCAGTTTGCTCAATTTGTTCTCCTAACACAGGTAAGCTCATATGCAACTTCAAATAGCATCTTTGAATTATTTAGGCAGATTGACTATGTTCTACAGACAGGCACTGAATTTACAACCACGCTGATGGTTTCCTTTTAGCCAGACTTCACTCTCACTCTCAGGATAGATTCATACCATTTGTTACATCAATACTTTTGCTAGTGGTCTTCAAAATTTAAAGGTTGACCATTTATGTCACTCAATCTTTGGCTTCCAGGACTAAACAGTTTAGCTTTCCCTTAAAAGCAGCCTCCAACCTGAGAGAAATACATTAGAACAAGCGCAGAATAAGCGAAAACTTTGCAAATAGAATTACCAAATAAATTAAATGGCCTTGCATCACTTCAGGTTATACAAAATTAAACACAATTTTTAAACTAAGCAATTTTTGCATGGCATGTAATATTTGGCATGATTTTGCATGATTTTGATTCTGAGCAATGGCATGATTTTACTGTCTTAGAGAATTCAACTAGTTGAGGTATTTTTATTATTTACTATATTTCACATTGGCTAATGTGAGCAAGAGGACACTGACATGCAGCATCTCCTTAGTGTTTATGCTGATTGAAGTTCCGAATCCAAGCATATCCCTTCGCCTTTTTATCCCGGTCCAAGTTGATACTGCTTGGTTTGGGTTGATAGTTTTGAACAGTGCGTGCTTCAATAGACATGTTTTCTAACGAAAAAAGAGGAAGCCACATAGATGTATAGAAATATTTTAGAAAACTTGTCATGATAAAGTCCTAGTTATTTTGATTTTGATTCAGGAACAGTAAAGCAAAGTGGAGTAGACACCTGTTTAAGATTGTGGCCCTGAAATTTGAAGCTATGGACTCAATTCATGAATTCATGAATTTCCCGTTTTATTTGAAGCAAACTGCTTAACCACTTAATCCCATTTTCCTCTTCAGCAAATTTTGGTTGTTTCCATACTTCACTTAACTGTAGTGTTTCAGCCATGGAAATTAATACTCTTTAAAATGTAGTACTAAAATAACACCGTTTACTTTTGCTTTATATGTCCCCTATTTTTTGTAAAGTTGAAAAATTATTTCTAAAATACGCAAATATGTAGTTTTAAAAATTGATCTATGATTATTTACGATTTTTCTTTATGAGTACATATAGGAGAGTACAGACTTTAAATAGTTTCACTTTAAATAGTTTTAACTATCTTTTGCTTTTGATTCTAGATAGCTTCTTTATTTGCTGTGTATGTTATGGGCTATATTGACTCCTGCAAATTACAGAAGATACTCTCTGCTCATATGGTAATTTTTTTCCTTTTTAAGCTAAATTCTGTTGACCAGCTTAGAGCCTCAAAAGATGTTAGCTGTCTTAAATGTTTGCTTAGTTACAGGATGATTGAACGAATGCAATAATAAGGGGTGGAGGGGCCTGTGTTTGAGTGGTTGGATCTGACATATACTTAGATCATAGAGTCAGAAACTAGAATTTTCTGGCACACCAGCATCTTTGAACTCAAAATTAACAACTTACAAGAATTGTGGAAATACTTGTCTCTCCCCAACTCCTCCCACTTATTTTATGAATTTGAAGATACTGTCCCAAACAATAAGCTACAAAATATAAGGATTAATAAAGTAAGAACAATAAAAAGTTGACGATGCAGTGTTCAGCTCATCTTCTTTCATGGTTAGCAGAAGCCCAAATTGAAATATCAGCTTGTCAAAAAGCCCTTATTGAAAGAAAAGAACCACAGCTAGACTGGGTTTGGAAGAATTTCAGTAATCTTAAGTATGTGAAGATACTGTGCTTGAACTATTTGGGGAGAGTGTGTGTATGTGTATATAAACCATTCATAATATATATAAATATATATTTATATAAAATATAAAATATTATATATTAAAATATATTTAAATATATTATTATATTAAATTATATATTAAAATATATTAAAATATATTTATAAAAATATATAAAAGAAGTTAAAGTAAAATATTTATCCAAGGAAAAAAAATTGTAAAAAAATGATGGGAATGTTGACAAAGGCTGTGCAGGTAATAAGCATAAGGCATTAATGTTCAACATAATATATCTGATGTTCATTTTACAATTAAAGATGATAACTATTTGCTACAAGTTTCTTTATGAGACCTTGTTGTCTTAAATATACAGACAGAAGTGAATTTCTATGGAAGAAATATGTCTGTTTTTAAAAACAGGTTTTTGTTTAAATTGTTCTAAGGAAACTCAGTGTACAAAAAGAGAATGTCTACCACAGCATATGTACTCACAATGATTAAAATACCCTAAGCTTTAAATAAAAGAGAGTAGTAAGCTCTGAGAAACTCATTTCAGAAATAAACCAGAGATGCCAAGTGGTTGTTTCTAGTCAGACACGTCAGAAAAATTTACAAATAACCCTCTTGGTTTAGTAATTCTTTTGTCAGAAACAGGTTGAAATACTTATGACTTTCTGTCAAGAGACATCATAATTTCACAGTCAGTATCGTAAAAGGTCCAATTTCAGATATGTGGGTATGTGATATTCTACAGAAAATGTAGTGAGCCTGGCTAAACTGCCAGTCTCTCAAGGCTTTGTTTTTTTTTCTTTTTCCTTTCTGTGGAATATGAGTCTAACCATGAAAAGTAATAAAGAAATTCAAAAGGTCACATATTTTACAAATAAATGCATTTCTCCAGTAAGAAGGAGAAGGCCCAGACGTTGACCATTGATACAGCTTTCTAAATGAGAAACTTTGATTTATCTTGCTTTCCCCTAGGAGGAGAACATTGAAAAAATAGAACAGGCACAGGAGAAAATCAAGACACTGGATAAAAGCTGTGTTTCAAGCTATGAGTTTCAACCTTATCAGCTGAAACAGTTATGTGTATATGATGAAAGTGTCAGATTAGAATTTAGATTACAATTTTGCTTTATTGGATTTGGTGATGATTATGTTTTAGTGTGTAAGAAATAAAAGAGAAATAAGAAAGAAAGGAATAAGAAATAAAAACAAAAACGTTTATTCAAGATTTCTATAGTGTTCTGAAATACAACAAGCACTACAGTGATATAATTTGCATGAATGTGTATGTTAGGAATAACTTTTCAAATGTAACTGGGATACCAAATAAAATAATTGGTCCTATGGTCAAATCTTTTTGCGCAATTGTACATTTTAATTGTACATTTTAATGTATGCCACTATAATATTCTACATGTGGTGACCTTGTAACCATTACAACTTTATAATTAGTGTTTCAGTGTGATTCTTTCAGCTGAGTATGTAACTTATATTTGCTGTGAAACAAGTTTCTCTAAATTTCCAGTTGTTAAAAAGCAATTTATGTGCTTAGATAACTATTTTAAATCTAATTGCTTTTATTTTCTTATTTCAGGTGTCACTTGTAGTGTGTTTTATACTGATGTTTGGTAATTCAATGTTACTGACATCCTATTATGCTGCATCTTTAGTAGTTATCTGGGTAAGTTGTTCAAGAAAGAAATCATGGGATGCTAAGCATATAACCCTATATTTATTTAATGCATTGATCTATAACGTAGAATTGTTGCATTGTCTGATAGTTCAGAAAGATTGTTGTCACTCGGTAAACAGCTTTAAACCTTTTAAGACCTTGGAGATTGTCGGGGGGAAAGGTATTTAGTCACACACCCACCCACCCACCCATCAAGACCCCTTCATAAGGAACCAAGTAGGGCTTCACTCTCTCTCTTTTTTATAAATAGTTTAAATTGTAGAAGGATATATACACTGGCTGACGCCTTCATAAAATGCTAGCCCTACATAATTAGAAAAAGGGAACAAGAGCAGAGGAGTTTAAAATGTGTGTATATGGCTTGGGAAACTACAAATACCTCATAACTGACTAAAACACATATAATGGTTTAGGACTATTTGAAACTGCTGAGCCCAAGTTCTGAAATCATCTATCAAAAACTCATCATCCCATCATCATCTATCTTCATTTGTCCATAAAAGGGAAAAAGAATTCCTAACCTCTTTTGCTCTCCTATGGTTTCTCTTAGAGGAATTTTGTATGTGGGAAATGGGAAATAAGATTCTTTGAGCTGATCTGGTTTAGCGTGCTACATTCATCTCCATTGCTGATTTTTTTTTTTTTTCCCCTCCTATTTATCCTCCTAGAAGCTTGTGGTGAGCTCAGTGAATTTCCTTCTCTCTGTATTTTGTCCTTCAGTAAATGAGTGGTAATTTCTCACCTATGCCAAGAGATAAGCTAGCTAAGCTAGCTTTACTTCTGGCAGTTGCTGTATAGCTTGCTTGTTATTTAAAAAAAAAAAAAATAGAAAAAAACCCCCACCTCTGTGGTATATTTAGCTGCTGCAAAAGTATCAACTTTATAATATATTTATAAATCTAACTACTATAATTATTGAATTTCTTGCCTGTTTTCTGCTTAAGGGAAAATTTTTATAATTTGCCTATCACTGGAGTGTTTGTAGTAGACGCAGTCCTGTAGTAAACTCAATGTCACATATGGGCTAGGTTTCTAGAAGCAATGTTTGTTCTCTGTTTCTCTTATATTTTTCATCAAATCAGCTTAAAGTGACTCTTCCTTTGTTCCTAAGACAAGGAACAGTGTGAAACAGAAAAAAAAATACTAGCAACTTTTCTTTTCCCCTGTGTTCTATTTCCTTCTTTGAAAATAGCTTTCTTTGGAATATTGCTGAAAATTATGCCGTTCTTCAGAGGTCTCCTGTCATTTGTGGAAATGGATATAACCCTGTGTTTCTGTTGCCTTTGATTTAAAGCTGCTTGTAACTGCATAGTTTTGCTTGGTAAAGGGAAGAGTAGTCTTCTGTATAAACTGCAGTAGAAATTCTTATATTAGTATGTCTGAGGTGTGCAGGTGAAACTGTAGAATAATATATTCTTATTTCAGGTTTTATTGATTCTTGAGTTTTTTTTTTTAATAGTTGCATGGTATACATTCTTACTAAAATAAAATAATAATCTGGGATGCTGGAGATACTGTAAAATGTTGTGGCTATCACACCTTACCTAAATATAAACATTCTTCTTATTATTAGGGAATTCTTGAATTGAGTCCAAAATTCTTGAAAATGAGCAGAAGAGCAATTAGGTTATGGGTAAGGATTTTGATATATTTCGAATTTCAGGGAAGGACTGTTAATTTTATTTAGTTTACTTGTTTTTTTACAAAATAATATAATTTCTGGTTTAATTCCTTGTGTCCTCAAAACTAGAAATGCAGCTTCATTTAAGGAAAAAGAAAAATGGGATAAACATCTATTTCATAGAATTGAAATAACACTCATTCTATGACAACTCTTCTGATTTTATAGTCCCACCTTGACATATTTACATCTACCTTTAAAATAAAGGAAAGAATTTCTAAGAATCAGTATAAAGGGTAGCAGTGCTTGCAGATAGGGGGATTAAGATATTGCATTAGAGATCCACCTAAGAATGTCCTGAATTATGTTAGTTTTTTTGTTAATAAGAATAAACAGCCTATAATTAAATAGGATATGATTGCAGTTTGTTTGGTTTATGGTTTGTTATGGTTTTTGATGCCCCTTATGTTATCAGCAGCAAGTACCTTCCAAAATTGAGGTTTGTTTGTAGCTGTTAAATATGATAACTGAATGCAGCTATCGTCCGTGTTACTCCCTCTTATCATGTTAAAGGAAAGATCAGTTTTGTTGCATTATTTTCTCTGAAAGCATCTGCTGCTGGAGACAACTTCAGTAAGATTCTCTAGAGTTTCCTTTATCTCTCCACCAGAATGATGCAAACCTAGTATATATGGTATTTTATTTATATTTCCATGAATTTATAACTGGTGTCTGTCTTCAGCAGATACTATAAATAAGCCAGTTCTTCCAAGTGGTTGGATTAGTAGAACATTACAGCCCCATAATGTTGGAGGAGGAAATTATTCTACTACCCTAGTATATGCAAAGTAAATGGCATTCAAAATTAGGCTGCCCCTTTTTAAAGGCCTTTTAGGTGTCTCCTCTACTGCAATGTAGTGGATGGTAATACAGCCATGATGTAAATTAATTGCACAAAAATGCTTTGTTGTAAGAGGAAAATAGCACCCCAGTGCACTCTGCTTGGTGAAGCAACTAGAAGTGGTTACACATCCTGGTGATGACATTTGAGAAGTTCTAATTGTTTAATTTAGGTTTTACTAAAGTTCCTCTTAGACATGTCTATTTCATTCTGAATATGTTTTTAAGGTCATTGAAGGATGTGCCTGGATAGTTGGGACAGTTACCTTGAAATATCTGACTTCTTTAGCATTTGGAATATCTGATGATGTAAGTGTTCTTTTTCTTAGCTTAATATCTGGTATTTTGGTTTCTGTTCAGAAAGCTGTCTGCTGTTGCATAACACTTTCTTGAAGTACTATTTTCTTAGTAGATTTATGTGACAGTGATACTTATGATAATAATTTATATGATAGCTCATGATTCTATTCTCTTTCCTTTTTGAATTAAATGAAACTGAAGTGGGAGTTAGGTTAAAAACTGACATTATTTTGCTGGTGAAGTGTAATAGCAAGAGAAGGTAAGATAGCATATTGAAAAGGAACTTAGGCTAGGAAAACATATGCCCAATAAGATATCTTGGGCCCATGGGAAGCAATTTAACAAAAATATTTTCAGGTTTTTAAGTAAATTTATGTTTGAAAACTTCTTTTATGTTTTGTATAAGAGCATTGCATTATACATAGAACATTATTTTTCCTATAGTTCTTTTCTATCATTATGGATTATTTTTTAATTTAAGAAAATCTCTTTTGAAGGATATTATAGTAAACTATATGGCATAGGGGAAGGGAAACAGTATGGGAATAGAACTATCTACACCATCAACAAATGACAAAGCAGAAAGCAGTACCTATCAGATGGAGTCAATGGAGGCTACAAGACGGATATTGATGTGCTCCCTTTAGTTAGATTGGTTTCTTTAAAAAAAAAAAAAAATCCTAATTCTTAATATTTTGATTTTTACGATGTTGCTCATATTTTCTGGAAACACCAAGATTACTTTTGCAGAAGTGCGGAGAGATTACATAATTGCTTTGCCATTCATTAGGAATTATCACTTTGAGGTACTATGGTCTAAGTTCCTGAAAAGACAAAGCTTTTTACCACTTATGTAACAAATGCTTTGTCTGTCTATAAATGAGGCTTTGTCGATCTTTGTTCATTTCTGGTATCTTCTCATATCTTTTGCAGTAGTTTCTCATAGTTTCTCACTTTCTTAGTTTAATTTCCTGTGAAGCTAACTTTTAGGAAGACTGTTTTGAAGTCCTTGTGATTACAATTTCTCATTCAATTTTAGTCCTTTTATTATCAGATTCTACTGTTTAGACCTTATCTGTGCAGATGCTACATCAAGGGGCAAAAAGTGGCAAACTTTTATATCTCAAAAAGCATGTATAAAACCATGTTCTTGCTGGGCCCGTTTCCAGTAATAACCTCCCACCTTTCTACTGCTTTTCACTTTGTATTTTCTCCAAGCACTCTTTATCTGTGAAGACTTCATTTAATCCCCTTGAGTAAATTTTGGTGCTTTTGTCCCAGTATTGTAAAATTTGTAAACGTCCAATTAAGAATCTTTACATTTACATTTCAACTACTTCACTGGTGAACACCATCCAAGTTTTACTTATGATTGCTTTTATTGTTTATTTCCTACCAGGCTCATATAGGTAATCTATTAAAAGCTAAATTTACTGGCTACAAGGACTTTGATACCTTAATGTATACCTGTGCTGCAGAATTTGACTTCATGGAAAAAGAGGTAATCTGATCAAATCGGACCACTGTGGGATTGGATTTTTTTTGTTTTGTTTATATCAATTTGTAACTTAAAAACATCTGAAAGCCATATCCTGCATAAGACATTTCATTTGGAATTCAAGAGGTTACTAGTCAAGTTAGAAACATAAATGTTCTTAAGCTGAATTTAACTAACTTTATTACTTTTAAGTTGATGAAAAATAAAAGAATATTTTGATTTTGGAAAATATGCTTGCCTGAATGAAACCTGTGCTGGTTCAAGAGCAAGCAGGAATTTACAGTTTTGCAAACTTGAGATTTTATGTGGATATCAGTAACCACTGTTGAATTGAGGAGAAAATGCAGTAGAGCTATCAAGGTCCTATGTGGCAGATTTAGATTACGAAGGAGCACTGATGCTTCTTAGCTTGCTGTTAGTGAACTTGGGTAATTAATTAGTATATAGATAGGTAGAAATTTTATAGGTTCCTCAAATCGTAGTACTCAAATTCAGGTGGTATACAATCTACTTTTAGCCTGAAGGAAGCTTTGCCAAAGAAATAGGAAACATTTTCCCATGACCCTAGAATAAAACTTCTACTGAAATTTCTAGATAGAGTTGAAATTTTTGTCTCATAAGCTTGTTTTGTTCTTGTTTTATGTTTAAATTTACATTTCCCTTGAGGGAGGATGTCTTATTTTCTTTAAAAAGGCCACTGTAATGCTTATAGATGAATGGAAAGCAATTAATACAGTTATTTCTGTTATAGACTCCAGTGAGATACACAAAGACTCTGCTGCTACCAGTTGTTCTGGTGGTCTTGGTGGTAATCATTAGAAGGGTAAGTGACTGATTTAGTGAGCAGCCTTTACCTTGATTTTGCTTTTTAGGTTTTTTTGAGGGACCTTTATTTATAATGAAGTAGGAGAAAAATAGATTAAAAATATGATTCTTTAAAAATATATGTATAATTTTTATTTTCTTCATATAGTGTTTTTTGTTAGTTTTTTATTTTATTTTTATAGTGCAGTCCTGAAGTCAGTGGCAAAACTTGCTTGGAGGTCAAAGTGGCAAACACAAATTTCTGTCCTTTAGCTGAAGAGAACTGCAGCCATAACTATTTCTGTAGATTTTGTTATGTATAATTTGTGTAAAAACAACTTACAGTTTACCCAAGAACAGATGGGATAGCTGAAAACTGCCTGACTAATTAAACACGCTAACAAAGAATTTTTGCTAAAATATTACATGTTTTTATCTTAGTATAATACGAGCATGAGTTTGCCCAGCTGCAATTTAATTTTGCAAATGTTGAAAATACTTTTGAAAGATTATTCATTTCCTATGTTGGTTTTCATTTTCTTCAGGCAATTAAATATCTTGTGTGGACGTTATCTCAACAAGGCCAGTGTGAAAGGTGAATGTTGTTTTCTTTTTTGAATGTAAAATGGAATTTTCTGATGAAAGGTTATTTGGTTTGATGTATGCTGGGTAGCTGAATTCTTCATTGTTAGCCTTTTTTTGAAGCATGGATTATTTGCAGCTCAGTAACTGAATGTCATAGGTAACTGAATGAACTGTTTATGATGATTTTATAGGATGTCTAAAACTAAGTTGAGCTATTCAAGTTTTAGTGGAGTTTAGAATCAGAGCTTAGACATCCTAACTTTCTTTACTAGTATTTTTTTTTTTCTGCTGTATCTTCTTAAATCAATATTTATTTATGCTTTTATTTGTTTTACTCTTAAAAAAGAACAAATGCAAAAATGCTCCTCCTCATTTTTTTTTTCCTGGTATTATCAAGATACTTGAGTTTTATCTTTAGAAAGCCATCACTACCACATTCATTTTATTTACTAAATATGGGTGATGCTTGCTCTGTTGTTGACATTAGGCTCAAGAATGGTGAATTTGGGCCAGTTGAGTGTTGTTTGTTTCCCTGACATCTTTTGCTGCATTTTCTTTTGCTCTAATCATTTCAGTGATCTCTGCATTCCATAATCTAATGGCCTTTAGAGAAATTTCATCAGATGTGAGCAGGATTCACCATCCTGTCCTCACAGATGTTTTAGCGGGACAGCAGTTATGAATCATTTGGATTACATTCACATTTGTATTTCCTTCTAAGAATCTAAAGACTAAAGCCATAGTAACTGAGTTAGTGGTTGACTCTTTGGTGACAGTGTTCTGCATCTCTTATGCTAGCAAGGTATTCTCTAAATTAGCTATTCTGTATGTGAAATAATCCATAGGAAATTACTAAAAACTGCTCAAAATAATTTTCAGATTGGAAATACAGAGGCATGTGGGAGGACAGTTGCTGATTATAGTAGTTGTGCAGGTGCTGATTGATGCTTATCAGGCTGGTTCAATTGCTTAGAGCTGTCATAGATGCTGCTAATGTGAAATGACTGCTTCTGTATGGTATAAACCAGTAATTTGATTTTCTGTTTTCCCTTTTTTATTCAGAGAGGAACGTTTTAACCACGGTGAGGTAGGACTCATTCTGCACGTCTACTGCTATGATAATGTGAATATTCAATATTGAAACATAAATGGCAGTTGTCTGAGGCCGATACATGATTATTTGAAGCTAAGTATTCGCATGTACTTCTATTTCCTTGTTCTATATTGGATACAGTGTATAACCAAAATAACAGTGCAATGTTGAACAGTAACAGAAAAAAGTACTAGTTAATGGTGAGGGGAATAGTGCAGGAGAGAAATCTCCTGGGCACAGAGCACTGATCATAAGCCAGGCCTTCCAGTTGCCCCATACAGACTGGGAAGGTGAATGGTAGCTGTGTGTGGTCTCATGGTAGCACTTTCTGACTGTGGTGATACAGAGCTTGTCTCTGACAAATAATCTTTTTAAAAATTCTTTTTTTTTTTTTTAATATATCACAAGGAAAATAGTTCTACAGATGGTTCTTTTAATTAACAAAACCACCTAAATAGTATATTTGAATAGTAGCTTGCTTTTGTGATTTCTTTCTCATTTGCCTTTAAGTCATCATGAACAGTGCAAAATGTTCTTAACAGCTCATGTGGTCAAAGCTTACAAGAAAAGCTTTTTATAGCCTTTATAGCCCTTTTTGACCTTCATAGCCATTTATTCCAATCTTTTAGTAGGAAACCTATTATAACTCTAGAGCAGAATAAGGAAACGGCTCACTGAAGAGCAGTCTTAAACATGTACATGGTGGCACTTGGAAAGACGAATACTTGGTTCATTAAAGTATGAAACTACTTAATTACTTAATTAGCAAAAGGTAACTATAGAGTGATATATCAAAAATACTGCACCACCTTTACAGTAATTCAATCAGATGTGAAGGAATGAGCTCTTCCCGTGTAACCCAAGGAATTCCTAAAGAGCTTCTATTTTGTTTTGGGAATCTTAGCAGTTTATTGTGGATTGTGCTATGAGAAAAATCTCTTGCCATTCAAAATGTTTTAATCTATCAATTGGATACAAGTATTTTTTTGCAATCAATCCTTAATGTTTAATAGCAGCCCTTCCACAGGTAGCACAGATTCAATGTTAGGAGTGTTGAGTGATGCCTCTACATATCAAATTTGTAAGCTTCCACTTTTAAGGATGCTAACTGTATCTGTGGTTGTGTGATTACTGAGGGTGATTTTAGTTCCTCCTTTCTTTTCATGCTTGTTAAGTGTTCTAGATACTAAGCAATAAAATCTACTCAGTCTGATAAAGAAGTTGCCTGAGAAATGGTGCATGTCTTCTTATTGCCTGCCTTGTACTTCAGGATCTTTTGAATAGCTGCCACTTCTCTAGCTGCTTTTAATCTTACTGTGACTGTTTTTCCTCCCTGTTGTGCCATAACCTAACATGCTGTGCATCTTTTTGAAAAAGAGATTACCAAGTCTTTATTTTTATCTGAAATGTGAAGAAATTTATTTTGACTTTTTTTTCCTGGATAAGCTTGCTATTTAAGCTTTACTGAAGAAGAGTTTGTATATTTGAGGTAAAAGAAGTGAAACATATGCAAATACCAGCTTATGCTTCTCTGTGCTATGTTTATGTTTGCAGCTGGTGTATCACGCGTTGCAGCTGTTGGCATACAGTGTCTTAGCAATTTTAATCATGAGGCTGAAACTGTTTTTGACACCACACCTTTGTGTTATGGCTTCCTTAGTGTGTTCGAAGCAGGTAAGATTTTTTCTAATTCTGTAACTGTCTCAAGGCTTGTACTATTACCAGATATTTGTGATAAATTGGAATTTTAAGTTTGTAATTGTGGAGTCTGTGTTAAAAATAAACAAGGTAGTTTATCTAAAAATAAGATTACACATGTTCCTTTATGCCCTCAGCTGAAAATGAAGCAAAAATCTTTTATTGGGCTACTTCTCCGGCTACTTCTCCAACTGCATTATTTCACAAATAAATACACTGTGAATTGAGCTTTAGCATAGGGAGGCATATCCTAGATATGTTTTATTTGAGCACTCCTGTGTCATTGCAAGCTTTATATCAAATACTCATTTTATCCAAGTGGTGTTTAAGCTTGTTTACATTGGGTTTACCCAGCTTTTTGGATTGCTTTCCAAATTTTTGTTTGCTGATTTACCGTAAAACATATTTCTTAGTGTTGTATGTTGAAAACAGTTCAAACTTAATAAATATGCCCAACTCAGATCTATTTTTTTCTAAATATAACATAAAAATCAAGATGTTCTAAACATGAAAATGTTGTATGAATGTGTGTTAGAATTGGCTTTCGGTTTCAGTAGTTGTGTTTTTGAGACATGAACCCAATTGGGTCTGTGTCTGGGTGGCTATATGAGAAGTTTTGCAGCTGAACAAAGGGAGGCCACTCTGCAGAAAGGGTTACTTACATCGTGTGAAGGAAATATCCGACACTGAGAGAATCGAAGTTGATGATTAATACTGAATTTCCAGGCCGCTGTGAGGTTCAATGGGATAAAGAATCCAGGGAAGAAACAAATCTTCCATGAAGCTCCGCAGGCTGCATATTAATCCGTCTGATTTAATACTTTGCTTAATCCCTTGGTGTCCCATCCCTTAGGAGGTCTCGTGTTTGTTGAGTAATTAATAAGGATTATGCCACAATTAAAACGTTCTAAGTGGACTTTCACACGGTGTCTCTGTCTTAGACTAGCAGTGGCAACATCAGTGTACAGAACTTTGAAAGGAAATGGCTTTTAAGGCACCAGGAAGGCAAAAAGAAGAAATGCTTATCATCTTCTAAAATACTGTGATTTGTAGGCAACAGAAGTGAATTCTGCCCAGAGATAACTTATTCTTAATTCTTGTTTTATTTCCTTGTGTTCCTTAAAGAAAATCTGTGGGCTTTTCTGCCTTGCTATACATTTCTGTACAATGTACCATGCAATATAGTAAGAATTAAAGCTCTTGTGTAATTTTGTAGCATGGGAACTTTCAATTTTCACACTACTTCAGTATTTGGTGCTGCAGGAAAAGGCCTGATGCTTCTCTCTCAAAACTATGAGAAGTGATAAATGTATTAATTAAGGAAATCTGAATTACTCTTTGTCTATAGTACGGAGAGAAGTATTCTCAAAGATAAGAAAGCACCTTGTTAACTGTTAATAATGAAAGATGAGCTGATAGGAAGGTTTCTGGTTGTCTGCTTTGCTTTTTTTCTGTATAGCAATCCAGCTAGTACATGACAAACTAGCAAAAGTTTTAGTTTTATGTGCTTGCTGTAGTACCACAGCAATATTTTTTTGATTAAGTTTGGGTATAATTCAAAATGCATTATTGATAACAGTAGTTTTGTTGTGCTGTTGCAACTAAGTTTGTTGGGCACATTAATGAAAGATGGCACTTCAGGGAATCACTGCCCTTTGGAATTCAGAGGATCCCATGTTAACACTATGTACGTATCTGTGAGAATGAAAGGTTCAGCATAATGTGTCAAATATATGTTGTTTTTTTCCTTTCCTATCAGTAGGAAAGACTGTTGATGGTGTTTAAAGAGAGAGAGAGATTAGAAAGAAGCATGCAAGACAAGGTGTGCTCTGCTCCAAAAGCTTTTCGGTCCTTTGGCCATCCTGCCCTTATTTCTTGGTCTGTAGAATGAGAGCAAGATCCTCAGGAAGGCAAAAATCCACAGGATTCACCTATTCTGGTGGTTGTTCCTGTTGGACCAGATGGCTCAGATCCAGTGGCTTTTTGCCCCTTCTTTGCAGCATCATGGAGAATAGGACTGAGAGAACTAGGTCTTCAATACTAGGAAAAATAAGGCTCTAGGCTGCTTTACTTTGGGAGAGTTCCTCTATACAGAAGGTAAATGACGAGCTCTACATAAGTAATTTAAAAATAAATAAATCTCATGCTCTAGATGACCCTGCTTGTGCAGCGGGGATGGACTAGATGATCTCTAGATGAGATGACCGTCCATCTCTAGATGGACTAGATGACCTTCCAACTTTAAGGATTCTGTGACTCCTGTGATTTTATGATTCTATGTTGCAGCCACCAAAGGTTCCTTTGCTTTTAAAGGGCTCGCTGGGTCGATGCTGATTGTACAAGACAAGCTAGAGTCTCTCCAGTCTCTACACTTTTTCCTTTCTTTTTTTTTTTTCTTTTGTTGCGGAGCTGCTGGTAATTTTCCAGATAACATATGACTGAGTTGAGCACAAGAGAGAAACGCTGACATCCTGACCCAGAGGGCACTCAGACCACTTTGGAAGCTGCTCTTACTGAAGGAATCAAGGGCTAACTTGCCTCTTTTTGTGGATTCAGGAAAATACGAATATTTTTTTTTTTTCAGATTTTTTTTTCTGCCACGCTAGCTTCTGAGCCTAAATGGAAAATAGTTTTGTATGTAGTGTTCTTCAAGAGCATTTAATGAGTCTGTATACCTTCCATTATCTCAGTGCTGTGATTAATTGCATCTGATGGACAGCTAGAGATTTAAAGTGTATTTGTATGTTTGACCAAAAAAGTTCCCACCAAAAACGTACATCAATGAAGGAGGAAAAAAAAAGATCTTGGAAAAAGAAATGCTTATTTTGCACTTCATATAGTTTCAGCCATTGTAGGCTATTTTTATAAACAAAACGGTGTTAAATTGAGCTATTTCTTAACATTATTAATGTTTTTATAAAAGCATTAAGATACGTGATTTTATTTGATTTGAAAAGCAATGAAACTCTGACAGATTTCTGAACTTCTAAAATATTCATAGTTGAACTGAGTTTATTGCAGCTGCTGTCAAAAAAAGGACTTTTGCTCATGTAGACCAGCCTACCAATGCATTTGTTTGTCTTTCATCTTCCAGACCTGTGACAGGGTCACATCTTTCTGTTACATTAAGTTTCCTTGGATAACGCTGCTGTTCTTGCTGGAGAATTCAGCAGGAATTCTTTTAGAATAAGAGTGGAGTGCATAATATTTTGGAAATTAAATAAGTTAGGGTTAATTTTTACTAGAAACAGTACATGCTTCTTTATTTGTGTGATCAGACTAGTGGGAGATTTTTACTGGGAAACTTTGTTATTTCATGCTTTAATTAAAAGTATCTGAGTTAAATGTGCTTATTTAATACAGGTTTGATATTTTGAAATGTAAAGCTTGCTAATTGACAGCTAGGTAAAACATATTTTGCATTTTAAGGTGATCTAAGGTTTGGTTCATATAGGGATGGGTTAATCTTTGCTCAAACCAAGCAAATACACAGCAAATTTGGTACTTTTTTCAGATTTGTTGCTATTTGTTTTAAGCATCCAACATAAAGTATTTAGGAAATAATGCAAGGGCAATCTTTTTCCGTTCAGAAGAGGGAAGCACATAGGCTATAAAGCAATATTAAGCCCATATTTTAAATTCTATTTTCTGATATATTTTTCAGATATTTGTGTGATAATATCTACCTAATCCATATACCAGAGCCAGAAACTGTTGGTATAAGATTCATAAGAGCGTCTAACATTTGAATGGTCTTTTCAGAATTTGACATTTGAACTACAATTTTAGAAGCTGCATTAATGTCAGTTTTCTTTTTTATAGTATTAAAAAGTATGATGCACTGTATCCAGTAAATATGAGTACTTAAGAAGTCTTATCTAACTATTTTGGAAAATGGAAGAATTGATCAATTCCTAGGCAAAAGTTCTTTAACACTATAAGGAAAACATCTGTTTTTTATTTCCTTGTATGGAATATAACATTATATTAGAACATGAAATCATTCTTACATTTTATTCTTCTATTTCAGTTGTTTGGATGGCTCTTCAGTAAAATCCAGCCCAAAATATTGGTCTTTGCCATGTTAGCAATGATGACAATAGAAGGATCATCAAACCTTCAAACTCAATGGAACATCATGGGAGAATTTAGCAATTTGCCACAAGAAGAACTCTTAGAGTGGATAAAGGTCAATACCAAACAAGGTAAACTACTAAATAATGATGTTTGGTGTTTCTTGTTTAATAGGATAAGAGTTGGTAGAATGACTGCCACGTTATCACTTCTGTCTGTGGATTTGCCTTAGGACTTTCCCCAAATCCCTGTTTAGTCACGTGTACTCACCCAAGCAGAAGTTTTCTCAAGTGAAATAGAAGCAAAATGCTTCTTTTGTTAGATTGGAGCCTCCCTATGTGGAAGGTCTAATAGTATTCTTACAACAGAAGTGTTTGTGCAAAAGCAAATTAAAACTTTTTTTTTCCATCTTCATGGTACTGATTTTGCACTGCTCATTGTTTTGCTAGTGAAGAATACAAACCGTGTGTGCTCTCGTTGCACTTGTCCTTTGTTAAAGTGAATAAATCTAGCTGGGTGAATAAAAAGCTTCTATTTTAGCAGGAAAATACTTTCCATTCAGTAAGAACTTCTAAGAAATTCCTCCTTTTTTAAATTCATTTATCAGTGCATAGGAAGGGACAAATAAACAAATGTTGTCATAACAAATAAATTGTAGTACCTATTCAAAAGTGAAAAATAATATGTATTAAATACCCTTCCTTAGACATTCAGTTATTTATATTTATATATAAATATATATATATTTATATATGCATGATTTATATTGAATGAGGGGAGGAAAAAAAAAGGGAAAAAGTGTGTCCTGTGATTGCCATGTGAGACCTTTTCAAAAGAGCACATCTCCCCCCTCTCCCTCCTTACATATCTGTTGTTTTCTTCTGCAGAAATACCATTTTAGATATTTTGAAAATCACTTCTCTGCTCTTGATGCTCATCTCGGATGTTTTCTTCGTGCTGTGTTGCAGATGCAGTCTTTGCGGGAGCAATGCCCACAATGGCGAGCGTGAAGCTGTCGGCGCTGCGCCCTATCGTAAATCATCCCCACTACGAGGATGCAGGACTGAGGTAAATAGGCCGAGGGGGTGGCCTCGGTAGCCATTAGCTCTCTTACCCTTGGTAACGTGCAGTTGGACTGTCAGCATGTTACCTAGTAAAACCTTGATATTTAGTCAGATTGCAAACATATGAAGACTTTTGCTCATCTGTCAATGTACTGTGGGATAGATGCAGCTTAAAACTTACATGTATCCGAATGTGATAGTGGATTTGGGATTAACATGCATTAATATATCCTTTGTTCATTCTGTTTCCCATAATATGGTAGGTAGATTTTTTTCTTTTTTTCCATCAAGAGAGCCACTTAAGTTATTCCTTTCACCTTTCTGCAGTCAAGTGTCATTTTTCTTATTATATCTAATTATGGGTGTACTAAAACTAGTTGAAATTGAAATTGGAAACAAAACTTCTAGCAGTTTATTCTACACTGCACTTGAAACACTGAGTTGTGTTCTCTGTTTTTTTCAAAATCAGATTTTTTTTCTAAACTTAACTTTCTAAACTTCTAAACTTTTTTATTAAACATTTGTTTAGTAAAAAACAGATGGAGAGGAATAAAGTAGGTGATAAGGACTTCGATGTCGCATACCTTATGCCCTTGTTCTGTATCTGGTGTTAAGCCTAAAATATAGGACAGAACATATTTAGGGAAAGTAAGCTGGAGATGATATTGCAAAATGCAGAGGAGTTAAGTGTCACACATTGCACAAGCAAGGAAGGATATTAGTAGGTAATGCAAACAAGCACATGGTTTGCAAGTGACAGTTGTGCTTGTAGACAGACTTCAGAATGACTTTTTGTTCTTGGACTCTGTATTTAAGTATAGTCTAAACAAGAGCCATGAGAATTGTCTTTGGCAAAGGGAACTGAGGAAACAACCTCTTGAATTCCAGCAAGCTTGAACTGATGTCTTTGTAGACATCGGTTGTAGATGTTGAATACGTCTGCAATCCTCACCCTTTGCCTAGTGACCACAGATCTTGTTAGTAAGTTGCCTCCTGATACAAAAAAAATGGAAGGACTGTATATACGTTCTTGAAATCATTCTATTTGTGAAGAAATTGTTACATGACAGCAAATGATGCTCTTATTTTAAACTTTATTTTAGATTAGTTATCTTGTGAAATAAACATTCCTGTGTAGTCTAACTTCAGCTTACGGTTTTCTTGCCATATTGTTAGCTAACTTTTATGGAATTTCTTTTTTTGAAGGGCCAGAACTAAGATAGTGTATTCTATGTACAGTAGAAAACCTGCAAAAGAAGTAAAAAAAGAATTGAAAAAACTAGGAGTCGATTACTACATTCTAGAAGAGTCGTGGTGCGTAAGAAGAACAAAGTGAGTAAAATCTCTGGTTTTCTCACAGGAATAGTATGTCACCCAAATGCATTCATAGAAAGCAGTTGTTTTGAAATGCTTTATTGAAAGTGCCCAAAAGGCTTCAGTCCAGCATCTCCAGGCACTAAAATGTGTAAGTAACATTAGTAATGCATTAATAACAGTGTGGTCTTTATTTGTGCTTAGAGAGTTGTGTTTGTATATTTTTAAACTTCACCGTAGAGTATGGAGGGGTTTCACAAATGAATCCAGTTGTAATTCACAGCCCCCCAGAGTGGTTGAGGTTGGAAGGGACCTCTGGAGACCACCTAGTCCAACCCCCCTGCACCAACACCATCACCTACAGCCTGTTGCCCAGGACCATTTCCATGTGACTTTTGACTAACTCTAAGGAAGGAGACCCCACAACCTCTCTGGATAACTTGTTCCAGTGCTCTGTTATCCTCACACTGAAGAAGTGTTTTCTTATATTCAGATGGACCTACCTACATTTCTGTTTGTGCTTTTGCCTTATCCTATTACTGGACACCAGTGAGAAGAGTCTGGCCCCATCCTCTTTACATCCTCCCTTCAGATACTACACGTTGATAAGACCTCCCCTAAGATCTCTTCTTTTCTGCATTAGAAAGAACAAATGCATTTATATAATGAACCCTAATATGATTAATAGGTGCAGAATAAAACATAATTTGAGAATCATAACATTACCATTGTAGAGCGCTGAATGTTTTGTCATGTTTAGACTGTACCTAAGAAAAAGCTATGCCTTTTTTCAGTAATTTCTCATTATAACCTTTAAAAAACGATTCATTCAGGTAACGATTATTTTCTATGTATTTAGAATAAAATGAAATAAATCTATGCTATTTCTTAGATATTATCTTTGACAAAATGAGGAAATTTTCAGTAATTTAACTTTGAAAGATAATCCGTAAGAAATTGATATTGATTGCGTTCCTTAATAGTAGAAGATAGAATAGAAGAAGGTGAGAAGATACTTTTTTAAAAAATGTGTTATTTCTTACGTTTCCTTTGGAAGTTTTGCCAGTGACAAGTTTACCTTCCATTTTCTAGGAGGTTTTAAGGGTTTGTGCCAATGTATGTTGCATAACTTGAGTCATTTTCTAATACATACTGCCCCTTTGAAATGAGTTTTCATTGTGTAGCCCTAAAAGCAGACAAATTTTATAGGTTCTAGATACTGATACTTTTTTTCTTGCATTACTAATATAATTATCAATTCTCTAATCTGAGAAGACTTTGTAGCATGAGAACAAGCTTAACATTAGAGAAGGCATAATCAAATGTCCATAGAAAAGCTTATACAACTGAGTTTAAAGAGCTGCATGTTTTCTGATGGCATTTCTTAACTCCTGTTTGCCTATGCAATTGTTTTCTAGGCCTGGTTGCAGTATGCCTGAAATTTGGGATGTGGAAGATCCTGACAATAGTGGCAAAATTCCTCTATGTAATCTTATGATCCAGGATTCCAGACCGTATTTCACCACTGTATTTGAGAACAGCAATTACAAAGTCCTGAAGGTTTCAAAGGAATAACGTCTCAGTGCAAAGAACCATCAGTCTTTCGATTTTTTTAATCTAGTAACTATAAGAATTCTAAATCAGAAATACCTTTTCTACTAAACTTGAAATGGAAAAGCGTGTATTTTATTTTTTACCATTTTAAATGAATTCTGATTATAGAAGTATCTTAAACCTAACAGTTTGGATTTCTATTTCAGGGTCAGTCCCTTGAGATTTGCTATGCAAATGGTTATATGTTTGCACATTTTATTTAACACTGATCCAAAAAAAAAAAAAAAAAAAAAAAAAGATATTAGTCCACCAAACAA